CATTAGGGGTCATTATATTGCAATGTTCCTTTAGCAGAACAATAGCATTTGGTTTTCCCCCTAGACCTATGGCCTATCCAGTTTCAGGCTCTTGGCCGTCCTAGCAATGTCAGGCATGGGTCCATCTCATGGAGTAAGCCTTAAATCTAATCAGAGAGTGGTTCATTACCTTCACATTTGTGCCACCATTGTTCTGCCATATCCTCCAAGGAAACCACTATTGGAGGCTCAGGTGGCATTCAGAGCACCTTCCAGTACCACAAAGGCAAGTCAGTAGGGGTGAAGCCTCTAGTCTGTCACCAGCTTGAGCTCTCCATGTTCAGCCTAGGGCCTTCCCATCAGCTGAGGCAAGGTTTTGATAGGTAGCCTGGAATTCTACCTTAGCCTCCAGAGTGCTGGGATTACAGGCATCACTACTATCCCAATTTTATATTTTTGTAATAACTGTAAATCAAAAGACAAAACATGGTGTGGTGGCACATTCCTATAAATCCAGTGTCAGGAGGTTGAGGGCTAAGAGCGAGACCACTTCAAAACAAAACAGAAAGAAGAAATGGTATTTTGTGACAAGTGGAGATTACAGAAATTGAAAGTGTTTTTGTTTGTTTGTTTGTTTTGGATTTTCAAGACAGGGCCTGTCTGTGTAGTCTTAATTTAAGAAAAGCGGGGGAGAAAGCCGCCATGAGGCAGGGTTCACGAAGAGGTTTTTTTTTTTTTTTTTTTTTTTTTTTTTTTTTTTAGGGAAAGGGATCATAAAAAGCGGCCTCTGGGGACAGGAGCAGTAGGAAAGAGAAAGGGAGGCAGAGGAACAGAGGGGGCTGTGTGGAGGATGGGAGGTGGACAGGGCCCTTTTAAAGGGGGAACATAGTGAACACAGATGGTGCTCTTAGTGGCTGCAGCTGAGAGCATATCCTGTCAGAACCCCAAGAACAGGCCGGTACACTGGCTGTCTAGGAACTCACTCTGTAGACTAGGCTGGCTTCTGCCTCCCAAGTGTTGGGATTAAAGGAGTATGCTACCACCACCTGGCTCAGAAATTGAAAGCTTTACCAAAACTTTAATTAAAAATTTCCAAAACTGGGCTGGAGAGATGGCTCAGAGGTTAGGAGCACTGGCTGCTCTTTCAGAGGCCCTGAGTTCAATTCCCAGAAATCACATGGTGGCATCTATAATGAGATCTGGTGCCCTCTTCTGGCCCACAGCTGTACATGCACATAGAACACTGTATACATAATAAATAAATAAATCTTTAAAAAAAAATTTCCAAAACTGCTGGGCATTGGTGGCCCACGCCTTTAATCCTAGCACTCGGGAGGCAGAGGCAGGAAGATCTCTGTGAGTTCAAGACCAGCCTGGTCTACAGGAGCTAGTTCCAGGACAGTCTCTAGTTCCAGAATAGTCTCCAAAGCCACACAGAGAAGCCTTGTCTTGAAAAGCCAAAAAAAAAAAAAAAAAAATCTGAAACACAAGATACTCATTTGCATCTTCCCAGTTGCTTTTACCTAATTAGACATGAGCATGAGCAGTTGCAAAAGGACTACATGATCCTCAACACCTAAAATGTCATCTTCCCCCTAAACAAAAAGTTTGCAGAGCACAGCTCCAATCCCTAACCACAGCCTGGGTCATCCTGCTGTGGTGCACAAGTCAGGAAGGAGCAGGTTAGGATGCTTCCAGGCTTCCAGGTACCAGTGCTGGATCCTGTTTTAGAAGGCTGTAGATCCTGACCTCTTCCTTATTCAAAAACTAAGGGGGCTGGAGACATGGCTTGGTATTAAGAGCACTTACTGTTCTTGCAGAGGATCTGAGTTGGGTTCCCAGAACTCAAATCAGGCAGCTTATAATTGCCTGTAACTCCAGCTCTATAGGGAATCCAATGCTCTGGCCTATGAGGTTACCTGTAGTCATGTGCATATACCCCCACACACATACACAGACACACACACATACACACACACACCACACCACACACATAATTTAAAAACTAAGAGAAAGAATTTCCTCTGGTGTTCATCAAGCTTCTTTTGTAACCTTCAACCTGACGGTTTTATTTAAAAGTTCCAAAATGTCTTCTATGATGCTTAGAAGGGGTAGTTGCTGGGGAAATACCCATTATCAGTTCAAGTATAGACAGACTAATTTTACTATTCAGGTTTTTGTTCAGACTGTACCTTCTTCAGCCAGACATAATGGCACATTTGGGAGGTGGAGGCAGGAGGATCAGGAGGAATATAAGACCATCCCCAGCTGCATGGTGAGTTTAAGGCCAGCTTGAGCTATATGAAACTCTATCTCAAACAAAACAAAAACCTCATTCGGGAGGCCTAGATTGGTCTCCTTGGTTCTAACAACTAAACCCCACTTTCCCTAAGCATCCTTCACAGAGTGGCTTTCCTGTGCCCCATGCTTGAAATCTCTCCGTGGCTCATATGGCTGCTCTCTGGCATTCTTCATGATCCCACTGGCTTGTTATGCCTTCCTCGTGGAACTGTCCAGCACACTGAGCTCTGTGGAGAAAGACCACATGGCAGAGTACAGAGCCCACACCAGCTCACCAGCTCAGTGCGCATAGCCTCCATATCTGCCCCTGGGCTCAGCAGTACCAGCCCTGTCTGATGCTGTGATGGTTTGGATGAGAATGGCCCCCATAGGCTCATACATTTGAAAGTTTGGTCTGAAATTGGTGAACTGTTTAGAAAGGATTAGGAGGCATGCCACTGCTGGATGAGGTGAGTCTAGAGCTGTGATTTGAAGTTTCAAGAGCCCTTGGCAGGCACAGTCTCTTTCTCTCTGCCTCCAGACTTTCAGATACAATACAAAGCTCTCAGCTACTGCTTCAGCACCATGCCTGTCTGCCTGCTGCCATGCTCTCTACCATGGTGATCATGGACTCATTCTCTGTCATTGTAAGACTCAGTAAACTATTATTTTATAAATTGCCTTAGCTATGGCATATTTTCACAACAGTAGAGAAATAATTAAGACACCCTCTTATTCCTATCTGTTGGACCAACTCTTCCAAGTTCTACAAGCTCAGATACAAACAACCAAAGCCTTCCTTAGGCTTTCTCTGGAGTTCATTGTTCCCCTGAGCTCTTTGGCACCTGTGTTGAATGCTAACATAGTTCTTTCGTTTTTGTGAAACAGGGTTTCTTTGTGTAGCCTTGGCTGTCCTGAACTAACTCTGTAAATCAGGCTAGTCTTGAACTCACAGATATCTGCCTACCTCTGCCTCCTGAGTGCTGGGATTAAAAGTATTCACCACCACTGCCTGGTGCTTACATAGCTCTTAGCATGTGATGTCCAAATTATGATAAATGGATCATCAGTCTGAAGGGCAGGGCAAGGACCAGGGCAAGAAGCTTGTCTTGGGCACCTCTGGATCGGAGTTACAGCATGTGCAGCAGTTCAGGTATATCGTGGGCACTCAGAATACATGATTTATTGAACTCTACTGTAGATGAACAAGTATTTTGGGATTCCCGGTAATGGGTTTCTCCACCAATTTAATAGCCAACTCAAGCCAAATTAACAAGACTAGGTTTAATCCAAGCAAAGCACCCCCAGGTGATCTCCAGGTAAGAAAGAGGAGAAATCACCCATCCGGCTTAGGAAACAGGGTCTTCACCCATCGGGCTTAGGAACAGGGTCTTAAATACCCTGTAGGTGAGGTCTTGAGCTTGGGGAGGAGCTGCCTCTTGCCAGGCTTTCTGAGGGGAAGGGTTTGGAGAGGGAGGAGTGGGGAGTTAAGGGGGGTCTTCCAATAGAACATAGACTACTGAATAGAAGCCTGGTCTAATTAGTCTGTTAGGGCAACTACAACAAATTTCCTCAGTATAGGAGGACTAGTCAATAGAAGCCTGTGGTTGTTGCTGTTGTTGAGACAATGTCTCTCTACTCAGTCATGACTCCTGCCTCAGGTTCCTGAGTGCTAGTGTTATAAGTATGAGCTGCCCTGACCATATTTCTTCACAGTTCAGTAAGCTAGAAATTGAAGATCAAGGTAACAGTAGATTTGATTTGGATTGCAGATGGCTGATTGGCTTGGTCCTTAAGTGGCCTTTTCTTTGTTCTCATGTATCAAGTGAGATCTGGATGTCTCCACCACCACACACTTACGTTTCAACCCATGGACAGGCAGGATTTAGCCAGCCAGGATATCCAAGCAGGGACAGAGAAAGGTGGTAGGCAGAGTTGAGGACAAACCATACAGCCACCAGGAAGGTGGAACACCTGAGCATTCTCCAGTAAGCCAAGACCACGTGGAGATACAGATTATTAGAAATGGGTTAATAATTAAGAGAGGACTAGCCAATAAGAAGCCTGAGCTATCAGCCAAACAGTTTATAATTAATATTTGCCTCTGTTTATTTGGGACCAAACAGCTCCAGGACCGGGTGGGATAGAAACTTCCGTCTACAATACACACACAATCAAGCATACACATGTTCTGTGGCACGTGCACAACTCCTACCCCCATACACAAATAAATAAATATAATTTTAAATTTTAAATTTGTTTTATTTTACTTGTGTATATGAATGTTCGGCCTATATGTATGTCTGTGTACTTGCATGCATCCACAGAGGCCAGAAGAGGGTGTGAGATTCCTTGAAATTAGATTTATAGATGGCTGTGAGCTACCATTGGGCACGAGAGCCAGATGACAATTTACAGGAGTCTGTTCTTTCCCTCCACAAGATGGGTTCTGGGGGCTAACCCTCAGGTTCAGGTCCTCAGGCTTAGCAGCTGCCATCTTTACCCCAGAGCCACCCTTATGGGTCCCTCCTTTGAAGGCCGGCGTACCCTGAGCCCCCACCTCCTCTCTGAGGCCCCATCTTGTATGCATGTAAACAAAGGGTTTCTCCCTCCTTTTCATAAAGGATGCTCCAGGTGTTGTATAGGTCAAAGTTCCTCCTTCCCTGCAGGGAAAGTGACTGTTCCTCTGAGAATTGACACCTGAATGTTTTATGGATCAAAGGGCTTCTCCCCCCCTTCTGGAAAAGGGTACATTATTAATTAAAAACCAGCCCTCAGCCTGAACCTGGTGGACTTCAGCTACATCCTTGGCCCTATTATTTTGAGACAGGGTCTCAATATGCAGCACAGGCTGGTCTAGAACTGATGATCACAGGTGTGCACCACCATGTCCAGCCTCTCACTCTTCTTGTAAGGGTGCCAATCCTAATGGACCGGGACATCACCTTTATGACTTCCTGTATCCCTGACTACCATGTAAGGCCCAGTCTCCAAAACAGTCACATTGGTGATGATGGCTCCTGCCTATGGTTTTGAGGAAATGCAGATCTATTACAATGGCAAACTTGAACTTAGGATTGAGGGGGTCAGCTAGCTATGTGTCTGAGAATGGGGAGTCTCAGCTTCTCTGACTTTACACATGGCCAGCTTTTCTGGGACTGTCAAGAGGCTGAAATGAAATTATTTTACAAGTTAAAAGCTCCTCCTCATACACCAGCAATAACTTCGCTGTTCTTTCTATTACTGAGTCATCTTCAAAGTACACAGTGTGACTTTCATTTTATTGTACCATTCCCCCATGTGCAAGAAAGTGCTGGTAGCCATAGGAAGGCCTAATAGGGACTCACACCATGTCCTTGAAGTGAGAGCAGCAATACATCATGAAAGGACATCCATTACCTAGCTCTTCTCACAGAAGCTGCACAACAGGCCAAGGATGCTATTGATGAAGTGGATGACCGCCAGGAGGAGCTGGAGGAGGCTGATACACAGCAGGATGGAGAAGAAGGCCACGTGCCACACCACAGCCTTAGAGGGCTCCAGGCAGACAGAGGTCCAGAGTGAGCGGTCATACAAGTAATTCCTAGCCCCAATAATAAGGGGGTCAGGGGTGGGGAATAAACAAAAATAGTCAATCAAGGAACTGCAATAGAAAAACACAGGGTTGGGGCTCTGGTGACCTAGGTCACGGGATTGTAGTTGTGAGGGTGACAGTTACCTGTTGGGCAGGTCTTTGAAGGGATAGCCAAATTTCCAAGCTTGTGTCTGATTGAAGGATGAGATGTCAAACATGCAAAAGGGACCATCTTTCAAGGCTACTCCAGAAGTGATAAAGCAAACCAAGGCCCCAAGTAAAGCCAGGCCACTTGACAACAGAGCAATAAGCATCTGTAGTGGAGGCAGGAGACAGAGGTTACACAGAGCTGTGGTCAGGGGGCTGGTGACATGGCATGGCCAAGTCTAACCTCTTTGGTGGCCACGCATTCTCCCACCCTATCATGGGTAGCCAGTGTGACACATTCCTTTACAACATGTCCAGTGGTGGCTGATAAGGTGTCTGTCTTGGTAGAGTCAAGAAGAAACTGTTGAGAAAGGCCAGAAAGACAGACAGATAGACACATGGACTGCACAGGGTCTTTGGACCGCCCAGCAGGTTGATACCCCTTGCTAGTCTACTGCAGTGTCTCCACTCTGAACTAGCAAATTGCTGGCTGCTTGTTCACTTTTCTCTTCTAATGGCAAGCTATTGGCTTTAAAGCCCAAATTCCCGCTCTTGATCTCTTTTTTGAATCAAGCATAAATGGCAGGAAGGAGTTGTTAAAGGGCATAGTTAGGAACTGAAAACTAAACTTGCCCCTTGAGCCCTCTGTCTTGAGTAGAGGATGTGAGAGTTGTGTTAAAGGGTGGGAACTTACATACAGACAGGCTGCGTTCTTACTGAAGTACCCTGTCATGGAGATGAGAACAGCCGCGATGAGGACCTTGACAGCAGAGAAGTGAGTTAAGAGAAGACTAAGTGAGAGCTAAGGAGACTCCTCAATGGTTAAGAGCATTGGGGGCTCTTTCAGGGGACCCAGGTTTGGTTTCCAGCACACTGTGGCCTACAATCTCTGTTAGTACAGTTCTAGGGAATCTGACACCCTCTTCTGGCCTCTGAAGGTTCCTGCACCCACAATGGTACACATACAATATATACATACAAACACCCATGCAGACAAAAATAAGTAAATTTGAAAGAGACTGGGTGATTTGTATTTCTAGCTGCCACACACAACTGTTGAAATGGCTGTAGGGCCCAGGTTGAACTGTTTTGACGTGTGTAGGTGCTGACATCCATCTAGCCTTCCTGGTTCCAAGCTAAAACTCCAGCAACACATGGCAAGTCCACCCATTCCTCATTCCTTGGGCTGTTTATGAACCCAATACCAATTTGTTGGAACACCCCAACCACCACAACCTCCTAATGGAAATTCCCACTCATGGAACCCAAGACACATACCATGAACCCTCCTCCCCAGAGCCCAGAGCCCAGCATGGCATGCTTGCCAATGAGGCCCCTTGTCAGGTAGGTCACATCCCAGTTAGGAAAGAAGAGTGCGATGTTGGCCCCAGCAGCAAACAGGGATGCTGTACCAAGGCTCAGCCCGAGGAAGCGGGAGCAGGTCCGTGAGCACGCCAACACCCGGGAGAACGACAGCATCCTGGAATGATGGGAGAGTGTCACAGCTGAGCCAAGGTGGGAATACCCAACAGGAGACAGATGGAGACAGCTTCTGGAAACAGGTTATATCAAAGACAGCTGAGGGAATTTTACAACACACTGTCTTCCACAATAATTGGAGTTAACTCTCATTTTCTACCAAGCTTCAACCACACACATTTCTACATCCATCACATTTTGTGTGATTATTTCTCTATTTTTCTTTTAAATTTTTATTACATTTTATTTAGTGTATGTGTGTGGGTGTCTCTCTGTGTGTGTGTATGTGTATGTGTGTGTATGTGTGTGTGTATGTGTATGTGTGTGTGTGTGTGTGTGTATGTGTGTGTATGGGGATATTCATGTGATACATCACTTGCAGAAGTCAGAGAACAATTTTTCTTTTTTTAAGATTTGCTTACTTTATATATATGGGTGTTTTGTCTACATATACATCTATCTGCACACCAGAAGAGATCATCTGATCCTATAAGACCACAGTCATAGATGGTTGTGAGATACCATGTGGGGCTGAGAATTGAACCCCTGAAAGAGCAATCAGCACTCTTAACCACTGAACCATCTCTGCAGAAAGGCATGTGACACCATACCTGGCTGTCAGTGGTGTTCTTATTGTTCATCCATTGCAATGAGATAAAAAACAAAACAAAACCCACCACCTTCAGTCCCAGTACTTGGGAGGCAGAAACAGAAGATCTCTGTGAGTTCAAGGCCAGTCAACAAAGTGAGTTTCAGAACAGCCAGAGCTGTTACACAGAGAAACCCTGTCTTGAAAAACCAAAGGGGGAAAAAGCCCACCATAAACAGAAAGTAACATTATTCAAAGATAATCTGGCTATATATGTAGAAAATCCTAAACAATGTATTAAAAATTACTTGGATAGGTGAGTTTAGCAAGGACAAACAATAAAGTATTAATACTGTATCCTGTCTCTATACACAGGCAATGACAAGTTGAAAATTTTAATTTAAAAGGTATTTGCAATAGCACAAAACAAAAATATCTATGGATATATTTAATAATGTATACAGGATGTATATATGATAAGAATTACAGAGCACTGTGGAGAAAAGGAAGATGTCAATGACCCAAGCCAGTTGTCTGTGCATCCCTGTAGTCCAGCTATGTGGGAAGTTAGGGTAGGAGGAGGAAGACAACAGGAGCCCAGGAGTTTAATGCTAGCCTTGGGGAGGGGACCGGAGGAGAGGGGACTGCCTGCCTGCCTGCCTGCCTGCCTGCCTGCCTGCCTGCCTGCCTATATACCTCCTGAAATTGTTAGAGGTTTTTTTGGTTTTGTTTTATTTGAGACAGGGTCTCGCTGTGTAGCCCTGACTAACCTGGATCTATGTAGACCAGGCTGGCCTTGAACTCACAGAGATCAGCCTGGCTCTGCCTTTGGGAGTGCACCACTAATGACACCTAGCCTTGTTAGCGTGTATAAATGTATATAAATGTGGGTGAGGATGAGAAGCAACAGGAATGGTCCCACGTGTTGTGTTGGTGGTGAGAACATAACGGTGAAACCGTTCTGGAAAATAGTATGGTACTGTCCTGTGCCTAAACATTCACTTACCAAATCAGCCAGCAATCCCTCTGCTTGATGAAAGTGCAGTGACAATGCCTGCCCACACGAGCACTGAGACTTGGATGTCCCCAGTAGCTTCACTCATAATAGCTAAAATCAGGCGTGTGCCAATAATCAAATGTCCATCAACCAAATGTATTTTATATGCATATAGAGAAATAGTCAGCCATAAAAAAGAAAGTCTGATGCATGCTTCAGGTGGCTCATACTTGTGAACCCAGGAATTTAGGAGCTTCAAACAAAAAGAATGTAAGAGTGAGGGCTGTCTGGGCTACACAGTGAGTTTCAGGACAGCCAGGACTACAAAGAGAGGACCATGTCGCAGCAGCAGCAGCAGCAGCAGCAGCAGCTAAACACAAATAAAAATGAGCCTCAAACCAAAAAAGCGTTAGTTAACCTAGTTTCTACCTGTGTAAACTACAGTTTGGTAAGGAGATGGTTTCCAGGGGCAACACTGAAGAGGCAGGCTCTCTCCTCAGCGGGTCTCCGCAGCTCTTTGGTGGCTTGTGATTCCTCAGTCCAGGTTTTCTCTCTGCCCCCATGCACCTACCTTCCTTTTGCAGTTCTGTTCTGTGTGGTGAGTGGCCTTTACCAAACCCTTTTACACTGAATAGACAGCTTGTCCCAAGTGAAAGGGTGTGGGTCTTGTTAGAGAAGAGGGGCATGTTAGGGGAGTGGGTGTGAAGAACAGCCTTTACCCAGGGATTCCAGGGTTGGAAGGAAGGACGGAGTAAGCAGCTAGGGAAGATGATGGAGGCCTCCTTTTGAAGCCCACTTCCTGACCAGTATCCAGCTATTCTCAAGAAGCAAGCAAGGCCTCTGGAAAACATTCCTTCCCACTGTGCTGGAGTTTGCTTTGTTTTTTGTGGTTTTTTTTTTTTTTTTTTTTTTTTTTGTTTTGTTTTTGTTTTTCCCACTTGTACTGAGTTCCTCATTGTCTTGTGATTTAGGCAGTCTTCCCTCCTCACATTATCTCACCATTTAAGGGCAGTGTTCTGCTTGTGACACTAACCCACTCTCTCTCCGAGGACTGACTTTGTCAGGGCCCAGTAAGAACTGGCATGTTCCTGCCACTCAGGAATGTGTTTTGAACCTGGCCCAGGGTTTAGCACCTACTCATAACCACCCTTGAGTGAGATGTATCGAGACCCCCCCCCCACCCTCCAAGTATCAAAACCAAACTCTCCTGTTTCTCCTCAGGGAAGTCCTAGGAAGGGGTGGAAAATTAATGAGCCTGTGCTAGGCATGGTGGCACTCACCATAACCCCAGGTTTGGGAAATAGAGGCAAGAAGATTAGGAGTTCCGGGCTGTCCTCCACAAAGTGAGTTTGAGGCCAGCTGTGGCTACAAGAGACCATGTCTCAAATCCTCCCAAACCAAACAAACAAGAAAAGGATCTCAGTTAATGCTGAACTTCAACTTCAAATAATCAACAAATAATTCTTGAAGTCAGGCATGGTGGTGTGCACCTGTTATCCCAGCTCCTTGGGGTTTGAAGCAAGAGATCTGGAGTTAATGGCTAGCCTTGGCTATAAAGTATGTTGGAGGCTAGCCTAGGCTACAGGAGCCTAGTCTCAAACAAACAAATTTAGACAAATAGAGGAAAAATGCCAAACCTGAGTGTGTCCTTTCAGGTGAGTGGAATTCAGAGAGACCCTATAACTGAACACAGTGAACTGACTCCTCGTGTCTTGGTGAGTGCCAATCCCAAACCAGCCACGAAGTAAAAGAGTGGAGAAAGACGTATTACACATACAGTCAAGGAGAGCAAATGGTACCTTTGCATAGTATCCATAAGCACACATGTATGCTATATGCATGTGAACACTGTTAAGTCATTCTGTGCAAGCTGAAGTCATAGTCTAAAATGAAAATCTAGACATATTTGGGGGTGCACATGTGCAGAAGCAATGGACAGAAATGTCTCTAGGCATGCTACATTTGCAACACAAAATAAGAAGTGAAAACAGAGTAAAGGACACATGAAGGGGAATTAACACGAGAGTCTGCCCCTGGAGGTACCGGCCTTGCTTAATCACTAATGACCCTTGGCTGGCCTGCCGGTTGGACTCTGTAGTAAGAACAAGGAGGCCCCACTCTGGAACCAATCAAGCATCAGCAACTATGTGGGCACAGTTTTCTCGGAGGGGGAGCACAAATTCTGTGTGTACCCCATTCTCCACCTTTCCCTTTATTCCTCAGTTGATATTAATCAAACACCTAGTCTTTGGCTGTCACTATGCTAGAGCCTAGAGAGGAAAAAACACAGTCCCTTTCCTTGAGGACTAAAAAGATAGGCAGAACAGGCAAAGAGCAAGGAGAATGGAGTGTGGTAGAGGCAGAGACGCTCACACACTCACACAGGGCCATTTAACTTTTGCCTGCGAGACACGACACCCCCCCACCCCCCCATCCCCCGGCCCGCCAGAGGAAGTGCGGTCACAGAAAATCTTGGCTGATAGGGAGGCACTGGATGGGAAAGGTATTCTAGGCAGGGACAGAGAGGCCTGAAGTTCACCGAGAGAACTCTAAGCGGCAGAGCCAGGACTCTGAATTGCAAGACTGGTGTCCTGCCGTTCCTGGACATCATTTCATTGGACCCTTTCATTTCGGCTTACCTGGGTCTGAAGACAAGAGTCCGAGTCCGGAGGGGAGAAAAGGAAAGTGGAGGGTGCTCTGTTCAAAATGGGCCTTGGCTCCTGCAGCCACAGCCAGGACTCCTACTGAGGCAGGCTTGCAGGGTCTGTATATATAGAGGTCGCCTGGACATTCATGCATGAGTGCAGATGTGTGCCCACAGCTGCCCACAGTCATTCTGTCACAGGCGAACCCCAAGCTTGTGACCCACTCTCTGCTCATTTTCACGTGATTCCAAGGAAGGAAACAAGATGCATGGCCTCATGAGCTCAATGGTCTTAATGAGTCACTGGTTGCACCCAGAACTGCCTCAGCCTCCTCTGCCACCAGCACCCTGCCCCCACACCCGATGCACCATCCTGCTGTATCATCCTTGCTTGTAGAATCTGGACTCCCGTGAGTAGCACCGAGCACTGCCCACCCTTTCTTCCTTCTGCCTCACTTACTTGGCCTCAGGGCTGTTCTTCCTTGTGTTCAGGCGCCAGGCACCACCCTCTAGTGTCTCAGTCACAACAAACTTTGCTGCACAGTGATGGGAGCTCCAGACCGGCCTTAGATAAGTCCTAGTCAAGGCAGAAGTGGAAGCAGGAACCCTGTCTCAAAAACAAAATATAGCAAAGCCCAAAATAAAAACAAATGCCTTAAAAATAATTCCACGGCGCAGTGACAGCAAAGATGACAACTAATATCCAAGAACTGTCTCTTTTTTTCCTAGAAATAATCCAAGTAAAACATCTTTCCTTAATTAACTTTCTTATTCTTAGCAGAGAGAATTACAGGAGGCAGAATGCCTGTTTGGTTCTTAGTTGTAAGCGGGCTTAGTAATTTTTAGAAAATAACAGTAAGTTCACAAATTCTGGAAGTGGACACACACATGCCTCTTTTAAAATTATGATTATGTAATGTGTATGGGAGATTTTTCTGCATACATGTGTCTGTGTGTGCCTGGTACCTGCTGAGGCTAGAGGGCATTGGATCCCTGAAACTGGAGTTACAGATGGCTGTGAATTAAGGTGTGGATACTACGAATCAAAGCCAGGCCCTCTGGAAGATTGACCAGTGCTCCTAACTGGTCGAACCATCTCCCCAGCCCCAACCACAGACATTTTAGCCACTCAAAATGGCCTTGTGGGATGTTTTCTGGGAACTCAGTTCACACAACTGATCCTAGAGCAGTGGTTCTCAACTGGTGGGTCATGACCCCTTTAGGAGTTGAATGGCCCTTTCACAGAGGTTGCATCAGAACATGCAGATATTTACATTATGATTCGTAACAGCAGCAAAATTACAGTTATGAAGTAGCAACAGAAATAATTACATGGTTGGGGGTCACCACAACATGAGGTGCTATATTTAAGGGTTACAACATTAGGAAGGTTGAGAACCACTGCTCTAGAGGGTGAAGGCTGTATCTTACCTGATCTGAATATGCTGAACCCAGCATGACAGAAGCTCAAGAATCATTTTACTAATGAGCTAATTCATGTACCAGATAAAGTAACACACATAGTCTCTGCCCAGAATTTACTTTTGTTGATAAACTAAAATGACTGAGTATGTGCACCACAGGCATGCAGTATGGGTGGAGACCAGAAGAGGCGTCAAATCTCTCCAGAACTGGGGTTACAGGTGTTTGTGAGCTGCCTGTTATGGATGCTGGGAAATAAACCTCAGTCCTGGGGGAGAACCAGAGTGTTCTTGACTGCTGAGCCATCTCTCCAGCCCCAGTTTACATCTTTTATTATTTTATTTATTTAATTAGTTTGAGACAGGGTGTCACTGTATAGCTCTGGCTATCCTGAAGCTTACTGTGTAGACCAGGCTGGCCTCAAACTCACATAGATCTGCCCACCTCTGCTGCCCAAGTGCTGGGATTAAAGGTGTATGGGGGTCTCTACAAAGAGCAGGGTCACATGATCCATGTGAGGCAAGAAGGAAATCCAGTGCAGCACGACTAGTTAGCCGGTGTTAGACCTCTAGAGTCTGACACCAGACAGTTTATTGTAGGTATGCTGAAGTACAGTACAATTTGGAAAAAAGTTTCCTGATGTAACACAATTCCCTGTGCACAAGGAGGCATAATTACCTCAACACTCTTCCCAAAGTACATGCCACTTCTTCCATGAAGATGGGTTTTAGAAGTAGGAGATATATATATATATATATATAGATAGATAGATAGATAGATAGAGAGCGAGCACCTAAGGGATGATATGGTGTGGGCTCCACCATACATACAGTGTAGAGAGCTATTAGCCTACAGTCCTGGTTGTAGGAGTTTGGGAGAGTCCCTGGCCATATAGATAAACAAAGGTCACATAACCCATTAGCCACCCCCAGCCCTGGTTGTGGGAGCTTAGTATGATCTGGTTGTACAGATAGCACAAGTCACCAAGCTATTAATGACCTCCATTCTCAGAGTTTTGGGTGGAAAAACAGGTTATTTTATTATTATTATTTATTTAGCATATGTGCACTGATGTTTGGCCTGCATATATCTGTGTGAGTGTGCCAGATCCTTTGGAACTGGAGTTACAGGCAGTTGTGAGCTGCCATGTGGGTGCTGGGAATTGAACTCGGGACCTCTGGAAGAGCAGCCACTGCTCTTAACCACTGAGCCATCTCTCCAGCCCCCAAAACAGGTTCTATCTTTCCTAATTTCCCTAGTGCTAATCTATGAGCACAAGGATCTTGTGCTCCCAACAACTTCCAACAACTAAGTCTTTTAAACTGTATACAAGCTGTTCTCTTCTTCCTCCTCCGCCTTCGTCTTTTTCTCCTTTTTCTCTTTGCCCTGGTGCTATGAAGTCAGACAACTTCCTGCCTCAGTCTCCTTTACGTTGGGATTAAGGTATGCTCCACCACGCCCAGAATTATGTGGCCATGTTTCTATATGTCAATGTGTACATGCCTATAGATATTTTCATTAAATAGAATCTAAGCTGGGTATGATAGTATGTGCTGTAGTCTCTGGGCAACAGTGAGATGACCACTCAAGAACTAAATATGGCTTAGTTTTCACTTCATAGGCAATAAGTGAATTCTTCATCTTCCCAGAAGTTTGAAATTCAATTGAGATACCAGCCTGAGCATAACCATCCTGGTAAAAATGAGGACATTTCTGTCCCCACCCCACCCCAAGACAGGGTTTCTCTGTGTATCCCTGGCTGTCCTGGAACTCTCTGTAGATGAGGCTGGACTTGAACTCACAGACATCTACCTCTGCCTTCATAGTGCTGGGATCAACAGTGTGGGTCACTACCCAGTTAGAATGAGGACATTCTGAGGTACTGTGCACCAGCTCTAGCTATTAGATTGTTAAAACAATGGTACCCAAGAAGTCATAACTTCCCCAGGAATCTTATGCTGGGATGAGGAAAAGCCTGAAACTTGGTGCCAGCTAGATGAAGAATTTGTCTCTGAGAAAGATTTCATACAGTTCTCACCACTTTTCTGACCACTGGCAGAAAAGACTGGAGCAGAAACTACCCTCAACCAGGACTGCCATAGCCCTGCTCACCTCCTTCCCTCTACTGAAGCCTAGATCTCACCTTAGGACTGAAGACTTGGGGGTGTGGCAGGCTTGGTAGACCTCTTAGTTTCTTTTCATCTGGGCCTCACTTCAACTCACTTGCAAGTCAGATTGTGAATAGGGCTAGGGTGGGAAGGTTAATACCATAGAAGCTTTGTCAGGCTGGGAGGCCTGGGAAAAAAACAGGATGCACAGATGTTCCAGTCTCAGGGCTTATGAGGTGGAATCTGAGACAGGAGAAGGGGAAGTTAAGACAACAGGATTTGGAGGAAGGGAAAGGGGAAAGATAGGTCCAGCAGACCAGCTGCTTTCCAGTCTTATTTAGAGTGACTGATTAACCCTCCTGCACTGATTGATAGCTGATGGAATTGATAGCATTGCTTAATGGAAGGAAAGAAAAAAAGTTTCAAGAGGTTAAGAGACGCCATCAGTCACCAGAGAGGAAGTGTAGGCGGCTTTTCCTCCCTTAGTATAGAAATACTGAAAATGTGAGCCCACTCAAGCTGGGCTTCATTCCCAGCACACTGAAGCTGCTGTTGGTTTCAGTGCCGGCTCTAATGGACACCTTACGGTCCTTCTCCCTTGACCCTGCAGCGTTATATGTAATTACACTCGACTCTTCAACACCCTCCCTTGGTTCCCAGGCACTTGGCTGGCATCTGCCCCCTCACTGGCTGTACCTCCTGGACAATCTCTTTACAGGGCGAGCCTTGGGCTTTGGACCGTCTGGGGAACCTCATTCACTCTCAGCGCTGAACTCTACTTATGCCCTTATTTCTCAGCTCTGACGCCAGTTCCTCTCCTCCTAGCTCCGCTCGTGTCCAGCTTCCTATGCTATGCCTGTAATTAGAAGTTAACACATGGAGAAAAGTTTGCTCTTACCAATCATGTCTGATGCATTTAGCAAGGGGCCCACCTGCCAGGAATGTTTCATTCATGTTTTCTCATCATCCTGGATCAAACTGCAAGCTCCCTTTTCCACTTTCCAGTGCCTCTAGCTACACATTATTTCCCAGTTCACCCCCTACACTCACCACTTGCTATATAACTGGCTCCCTCAGAGCCTCAAATTCTCTTTCCCACACCAGTGTTTGCATTTATTCTCCTGCCAGCCTTCAGGTCAGGCCTCAGTTCAAAAAGAAGTTTTACCTCACTGGAGATCACAAATTGCACCCGAAAAAAATACAAAAAGGAGATTCTATCAACTACTTAGGATATAAAATAGGTCTACGGAAAATTAGATCACAAAAAGTACAGATCAGGAGAGATGGCTACCAGACTCTTAATGATTTTCAAAAATTACTAAGAGAGATTTCTCAACTACAAATCATTCTTGGAATGGAAGGGCATGATTGGAAAAACTTGAAAATGGCCCTAAAAGGGGACAAGGACTTAAACAGTCCACAAATACCATCAGCTAAAGATGAAAAGGAATTAGAATGGGTAGAAAAGAGGATACTAGAAGCACATGTGGACCATGTGGATCCAAAACTAGACTGTATTCTAGTTTTATTACTATCTAGAGAATCCTTCAGGTATTTGGATGCAGAGGCAAGATATTATATTACAATGGAT